TTGCTGCTATTGTTAATAATCATCATCATTACCATTGCAGTAATAACATAATCTACAGTATTGATATTGCATTCAGATGTTTAAACATATTGGTACCCAATTAGCCTTTATTATAGGTGCAGCTATAACCACTTTAAACTGTTGAGTTAAATCAATAATCTTAAATGCTTTTGAATGCTTGTTATAATCTTAAATGTGTATGTGCTGATTCTGATAAAAGGAAGACCTAACTCTGAGTACACTCTGTGCTAAAGCAGACAGGAAGTGCAGGCTTTTGCAGAACGTGCTTGTGAAAGTTACTTTGAGGAGCTGTGGGGAGGACGTTGAAGGGGCGTCATTAAATTTAAGCCCTGATGGTATAAAACATCTGCTTATGCTTTGTTAGTTGAAGATCAATTGCTGTTTGCGTACGGCGGTGATCTTCCTACGCGTGTCATTAAAAATCATCGTTTGACTTCACCTGGCCGGATCAGTGTTGTTATTCTTAGATTACCTTCTGTATCCCTCCTCAATATTGAACCCAACAGAGTGAAGCAAGGGGAAAATGTTTTGTAAAACTTTTGTTTTACAAAATTTGTAACATAACCAAACACAGCGGGGCAGTGAAGCTACAGCAGCGCATGTTGAATTCATCCACATTTAGTACGTAACACAACTGAATGTTTGGATTTGCTGCTGCATTCATCTCAGATTGAGACTGAAATGTGTTGATTTATTTGGAGTTCCTCGCAGTTGAACCTTCAGAGCTCTTATGTGCAGCTGTCGTGGGCACTGATTGTTGGATTCTTGTAGTTGCGGCACTAAAAGTGTGCAGAGGAGGAGTAGTTGGATAATTGGTCAAACACTCATTACTGTACAACAGAACCGTTTGATGACAAACGTCCTTCGTGTCTGACTGGAGTCTTCTGTTATTATTAAACCAGTGAAGGCAAAGAGAGCCTACCTATGCCAAACATGCTTTTGAATACATCCCTCCACAAGTCATTTGGTCTCCTGGTGCACGTGGTTTTCTTTGTTTTTAACGAATGTACTGCTGGTTGGTGTGCTGCCCCTCCCACAGGTGAAGGATGGTGTCATGTTATAAAAGGGTTCAGCCTCCAGTCTTTTTTTGCAGCCCTGCTATGGGACTTGTCATTTAAAACAAACCCTTTTTGAATCATTGTTTGTTTGTGTTCCTACATTTCCAGGATTTAAAGCCCCTGTTCACTATACCTCTACTGGGCTGCAGCGTAGAGGCTTTCCCCCAGGCGTTTCAGGGTCAGTCCTGCTTCTGTCTGACCCAGTCCAAAACCCGCCACACTTTCACCTGCGATTCTCTGGACATCAAACGCAGCTGGCTGAGTGCTCTGAAAGTGGCTGTGACAGGATGGCGTACAGCATGCTCACTGGCTGTTTGTGACAACAGCAGAGGAATCAGGTCTGGCATTAATGGGAGTCTCAGTGGTGAGAACTTTGTAGTCAGTGGCAACAAGGACCATCGCTCTTGAATGTTTGCAGTGTGTCACGTATGCAACAGCAGAACAAATGTCCATTGTTGGAAAATGAAAGTTCAGGAATATAAAGGTTACAGTACTCTGAAAACTGTGTCTTTAAAAGTGTTGTGCACTTTATTTCAGAAATGGTTTACAGTAAAATAAATAAAGTGTTTTAACGTGAGTGAGACTATCCCTTCAACTACAACTGCATTTGCTTTAGCGCTGTACAAGTGCTAAGGTGCCAAGTGGAGAGAAAATGTGCTCAAGGTTATTTTCTTACAGCAGACAGTCGAACGCACGATTGCAAAGAGTTCCAGTGACACACGGAGGCTCTGCGGGATCACGATCGCCTTATAAAACACATTCAGCTGATCCCGCTTCTTCACATATTATTACAGTAAGTGGATATTTACACTCAACAGTTTACAGCTAAGCAAC